TGATGCCTACCTGGCTGGAGTCATTTGATCCCAGTTTTTCTCCTGCCCAGGCAGGGGGTCGGACTAAAAGATCTACAATGTCCCTTCCGACCTGACTTCTATGATTCTATGATATGATAAAAGGGAGGAAGGAGGACCCAGGAAACTATAGGCCTGTTGCCATCTTTCACTGCATATGATCTCCCTTTAGGACAAGGGAAGAGGTTTCAGAAGTCCATTGCTGTCTTTCCACCTCCCTGCCTGGCCTGATTTTCTTACCAGGCTCTTCCTCTGACCCTTGCAGGATGTGCTGTGTTGTGGCTTTCTGAGGTTGCAGATCTGCCGCCAGCATTGTTGAGAGTTTAACTGGGGCATGTTAACTGTGTGCTGTCTTAATGCAGAGACTCATGGAAATGGGCCAGCTTTCTACAACTTCCAGCTAAGCACCGACAATGCAGGCATAGCTAGAGTTCAGGGTGTTGAGCATGCATGAATCCAGGGCAGGTCCTTCTGCTCTCCCCCTCCACCCTCAATTCAAGATTGGAAGGAGTCTGGGAGCTTCCCAGGCCTGCCAACACCAAGAATCCCACACTGAAGGGGGCCCTCTTTACATGGGATGGCAGTGCAGATCCCCACCGTCACCCTTGAGCAGAAACAGCTCTTCTCTCCCAGTCTAACACCAGTGCAGTGCGAGGTAAAGTCACTCTTCAGTGTCTTCATGCTCCTGCCTGCTGTCTCTGCTTAGGGGTAGCCCCCTGCCCCCTGTTGGAGCAGACTCAAACAGCGTTGCCCTTAGAAAGGCAGGCTGCAGAGACCCAGCACATAGGCCACCATTGCTGGTGTGAAAAGGGGCAGATCCCTGTCAGCTCTCATTATCTGTGACTGTCTGCTCTGACCCCCTTCTTTTCTCCAGGGCTCGTCTAGAGGCCTTCTCGGACCACAGCGGGAAGCTGCAGCTCCCCCTGCAGGAGATCATCGACTGGCTCAGTCAGAAGGATGAGGAGCTGTCAGCTCAGCTGCCGCTCCGAGGAGATGTGCTCCTGGTGCAGCAGGAGAAAGAGACTCACACAGTATGTTTCCAGGGTTTCTCTCAGCTCTTGCATCTTCCCTGCCCTCTCTTACCATCTGGGACACGCCCAGGTTCCTTGGTATGGAACCCAAGTACCAGACCTTGCTTGGGTTTCTCAGCCTGTTTGACTGTCTGTGCCCACAGGTGTAGCAGTCATTCTCCATGTCCATGCACAGGGTCTTGATCACATATTTCCCTGCTTGCCTCAGGAAGGCAGAGCCAACGCTTTCTAGGAAAGCTCCAGCCTGTATTTCCCCCAGTGTCTAACTAGTGAAAGTCATCAGCTGTAGGATACATGTTAAAGAAAATAAAACTGCCTTATTGATTTAAATCCATGTAGGTTCCTGCAATGGGGTATTGAGCTTCAGTTACCCCATTCAGTTTCCTAATGTGCTGTAAGCATCCTAGCTGTCTGGAAGATAGAGCTGCTTTTGTCTGGGCACACTCACGGCAACTTGACATTCTTCTGAAGTCCAATCCTGTTTGCCTGATCTCAGGTTGACGCAATGCCTGGGATGTGAGAAACCCTTGCTGTGTTGAAGCACACAGCAGGTTCTGATTAACCAGCCTCACTGCATTTAATGTTTGGGGCAGTACAAATCAGTTTCCTCCTTCCTGGTCTCATAATGCACATTAGCATGATCCAAAGGACTTTTTAATAGTTTATACTCTAGGGCACACCAGTAGTTGGCCATTTCAGACAGAC